GTTCACGTACAACCATCGATTGGATGGATATAAATAAATAAATGAAAACTGCTGCGAGACCCAAGTGCACACTTAGCAACCAAAATTAACCATAGATCATTGTCAAACTTCCCTTAGGCGTGTAAGGAGAAAACCGAAAACATTAGACACTCTCCGTTTAACAATAGCCAGACTTCATTCCATGACTGAGAGACGAATCTATCCTTCACAGGCAGTATTCAGGCGACATCGAAGAGATGGCGTGAATAATTTGATATTCGGCGGTGCATTTTTTTTCTGACACGTCCTCATGCGAGTGCCTTGCATGCAAACAACCGACGCCGCGTCACTGATGCTTGGCAATTTTTACGTGCGTGTTTTTGTCAAGCAAGTGTGTGTTGCCAGCATTAACGTGCTCAAGATTGTTTGAGATAAATTTTATATTTCCCTTTACGCATGCAAACCCTTTGCCTAGGAGCTTTTGCCTCCCCGTCAACGTTTTGCCATAACAAATACTTCTCAGGCGTTCCTTAAGCCATACCAACATTTGCTTATGAGGTCTTTGGTACTAGCCTTTTCGCACGTTATTTTACCAAACGCACTTTGCATCACGCGTATCACGCAAATTTGTTGGGTGAGATTCCACAAGCCCTTTTTCCAAGCGCATGTTTGTCATAAAATCCTTGTCTTCGCGGTGATCGACAACAGGTTTTCAACGCTAGTGTCGCCTGCAACAACAGCATACGACTGGCGGTCAGTGCCTGCTAGTTCGTACTGTTGCGGCTTGATTCGAAACTACTGCAATTAGGGTGTGATTTCAACCTGGAGCTGAGCGGCACTGCTCTTTGTATAAATGCTGTTGAGCATGGGGACTCCCTCATGCACAAGGGATGTTCCTTGCACGAACCAAGGAAGTGGCAGACGGCGCCGCTCGCTGACGCCACACCGGCGACGCCGGCAGTCAACCTGTCCAGACCCGCCTTCCCATCGATGGCATCCCGCCGTGCCTGACGCCGCCGGAACTTGCCCTCGCTTCTGCCAACGCTGACCCACCCCGTGCCCCTTCTTGGTCGCAGGAGCGAGGGAAGTTGTCAAGAATGGGGGAGGGGGTCAGAGGCATTTGAGTCGTTTCTTTCCATGTACCGCCGCAAGCCTAGTGCTGAATTATCTCAGTTGTTGGGAAGTGGACTCTATCCCCCGAGGTTCCCCCCCCCCAATAACGCGATCGTTCCCTCGCCTATGCTTGGTCACATCGTCCCCGCCCCGGCGTCCCGGTTGTTATGCTGGCGGCTGGCGGCCGGGGGTTGTTTGACCCGTCCCGTTGCGGAGGGGTGGCTACACCCCCCCCCCCCGCCCCCACCCCGCCCAGACAAATTGGCGCATGGGGAGGACGGCTCCTGGAAGTGTTTTTGTCAGCGTGCTGGGCGCATTGTGCAAGTGGGCGCAAGTGTGCATTGTGCAATATCATTTCCGTTTCGTGCATTGTGCTGTCGTGTGGCAGGACTTTCTTTTATTGATTTGTTGTTTTTGATACGACCGGTCCACTCGCAGGGCAGCGCCATGTTGCTTGGAGGGCAAAAATCCCTCCAATATTGCGCATCCTTGGCCACTTAGTGACGTGGAAACCCCTCCGATAGTAAAGTGAACCTCAATTGAAAAAGTCGGTTCCAGTCATTGTGTACAGCGTCATATAAGGCTTATTTATGTATGGGTAAGAAGTCTCCCTCCCCTTATTGAAAAGGCTTTAGACGATGTCCTGGGCCTGCATGACTTTTTTCTTGTGCAACAATACATTTGCGATATCTCTCGACTGTTTCTTCTGATGTACTTGCTTGCAATATGCGAACGATGCGTTGTTGGTGTTTTCAGCTTGCGGCCCTTTTTGCGTATTTTCTCCGGCAGGATGAAGCTCGCTGTTGCGGATATTGATGGCAGCGGGATGGACATCAACTTCAGCCCTTCGTTAGCTGGGGAGGTGCCCTGCTGTTGAACTGATGAGCTGCTACTGAGAACGCAGCTACTCTGCTCTGGATGGCTGTTTGAGGAGTGCTGCTGGCCGCCCGGAAGCATTATGTCTGCCAGCAAGCTGGCACAGCAATCAGAGGCTTCTGTCAGTCATCTGGTGCTGCTCCAGAATCATCATTTTTAGGAAAGTAGGCATTGTATCACATGGGCTCGTAATGTTCAGTTCGTGCTTCACGAACAATTCTGCTAAAATCTACGGCGATGATTTCCTTGCCACGATTATTGGTAACTCAATACGATGGACATGGCAAAGACACAATCTACTTTATTTCTCTGAGCACTTTCGCAGGCAACAGGAGCAAACAAGTTTTCGAATTCTGTCATAAAAAGTTCGTTGTGTGAGAATGTTCCAATATGCGGTACTACCCTAGCACTCGCCGAGAGATGGCAGCACGATGATGTTCGGTAGACTTTAGTAGACTGCACATCGCCCAGCTGTGCGGGTCAGAATCGTGTGCGACAAACCCACTGCAGTCAGCTGATTTAGGAGTTACGAACATTAGGGGTTATGATACACTAGGTCTTACGATACATTAGGTGTTATGATATATTAGGAGTTGTGTTACATTAGAGGTTATGATCGTTAGGAATTACGATACGTTGGGTCTTACGACACATTAGGTGTTGTGATACATTAGGTGTTATGATACATTAGGTAATATGATATATTAGGAGTTGTGTTACATTAGAGGCTACGAGCATTAGGGATTACAATACGTTAGGCCTTATGACACATTGGGAGTTACGATGCGTTAGGAGTTGCGATACATTAGGTGTTGTGATACATTAGGAGTTACGATACATTAGGGGTTATGACACATTAGGTGCTACGTACATTAGGCGTTATGAAGCATTAGCGGTTTTGATACATTAGGCGTTGTGATACATTAGTGGTTGCAAACATTAGGGGGTTCGATACCGACCCACGAACAACGAACAGTGGACTCCGAGTTGGTCTGAGCTTTGGGGGCCCCATTTCCCAAGAAGAGACGGTGTCGAGCGCGCGATTTACATGAGTCAGGGCTCCTGTTTCGCGAGGGGCCCACAGTGCCTGACAGAGTAACCTGTGTGAACAATTAGCCCCGAATCGGCCAGGGGAAGATTTGCCGAACAGGAACGGGAACTGGAGTCCGAATGACTCAAGGGCTCTTGCGTTGATCGGGACCTCCTGACAATTCAAGGAAACATGAGAGCTCATGATGAGTGCTCACATTGAGGTGATGGAAGGGTCCTGTGCCATTCAGGGCCCTCAGTACCGGTAACGCCCGGCCTCAATTTCAATTATGGATGGTAAAAGGGAATATATATATATATATATATATATATATATATATATATAATCATATACGTGTGTGAATACAGAGTCTAAGAAAAACATGCCTCTGCTAACAAATGGGCCATACCCGGCGATTTCTGGGGGGGGGGGGGGGGGCACTTTTACTATCAGTCGGTCCTTTGTCAATCCCGTGCCCTCCTTCCCAAGGCTCTGGCTGCGCTCCTGATAGTGCGACTGTGTCGACAGTGAAGTTACGTGCGCATTATGAAACCCTAAAAACGCCCGCATTGCGTCAATCCGTTCTGGGCATAAAACTATGCGCTTGATACCAGCGGGAGGGAATTAAAGAGAGCATGCCACCTTCTTTGTATATTCCCATTTCTGTCTGGTTATTCGGTTAGGAACGAGTTTTGGAAAGGACTTGGGGAGGGAGAGGTAGAGCAGGAGAAAGTGACACAACTATCCTTCAAAACGCCAACGAATGGGTTTTCATTCGTTGACGCTTTTGAAGGAATTCGGCCAGCTTTCTTCCGGGAAAACCTGTAGGTGTGGCTCCAGCCCCTCACCCGCACCCCAAAACTGAATATAAGACTACGCCCCTGTGTTAAGCATTAGGAGCTCAAATTTTGCACGCCTAGTAATCGACCTTCAATATACCAGTACGTTAAACGACACTGTAGAGGAAAGATTCATCATATTACCAGCACTCGGCGTTTCAAGCCTGTGCTTATCATAGCAGATTTGTCATCATAAGCACTCACTAGGGGCTCGTAGACTTGATGCCGGCTTATGTCGCCTTGAACTTTTCATCCTTTGAATGTTTATTTTTATTTACATCCCTGCTGACTTTAATCCCCATCAACTCTGAGTCCGTAGGCCTTTTTAATAATATTATTCCCCGTTTGAATTTTCCAGTTCGGCATTTTTCCGATTCATATTTTAACCACGTTAAAGTTTAACCACTTTTATCCAGTCAGAAAGTCTTCTTTATGACATTTAACTTGCTCCAAGTTGGCTTCTGCTCTTTTTGGTTTTTTTGCCTTTCAACTTTTTTGTTCAATTTTCATCCCCTCAAATTGTTGTCCGAACACTGAAGGGTCGGGCACCGCAGGGAATCGAACCGTATACCTCTAGTTTGCTAGAAACGGTCTACTACTAGTTTATCCATCCCTCCATCTAGTCGATCGCCGAAGTGACAGTACGTCACGACATGACGCAGTTTGCTGATCTTAACTGAGACCAAAAACTTAACAAGCCCAAGTGATAGCCAGTGCGCTTCAATGCCCGTTAGAGCTCACTAGACACCTGCGCAGCACAACTGAGCTCCAGAATCCATCGCCGGTGCCCCAGCAAGGCATTCCTATGTAACGAGGTGCTTGCCGAGACAGATATGTCCACATCATTGCAGCTCCCATGATTGGTCGGCCGACGCAAATGAACCCATCAGTCTGCTACCGCTCTGGGGCCTCGATCTGCCATCCCGCTGACGTCCGTCAATATTTCTGACACGCACAGCCACGTCTGAGCGGCTACGGTAAGAACGGAACGGTCGGATTATTGGCTCCGTCTTTTTAACTCTATCTCTGCTTATGCATTATTAGATTCCAATAATGCAACCATGGAATTATTCCTAGTTGGGAAAAATGAAGAAACAAATAGATTACGACATTTTTCCTGGAAGATGGCAGTAAGACTGCCGCTACCAAATCAGACAGATCATGCGCAACATCGCTTCGTGAGTCAAATCTCGCTGCGAAGTGAGTAAGGGCGCGGATGTAAATGAGGGGTGCTGCACGCCGTTAGCTCCGGCAGGTTTGTGGTTATTTCGAAGTAACCCACCGTTACACAAGTTTGCAGTTGTTGAGCTGCTATTTCTGCATCATGGCTTCGGTAGCCAACGCTAATTCGCCCGCCCACGCTCCAAATCAGAATCAAGATGCTAATGGAAGCCAGCAGGGGCATCAACAGAGCTGGAGAGAGAGGGTAAGTCAGACAGTCTTGCTACATGGAGTATGTTTGCTGCATCATTATTTTGGGAATGCCACTTTGATGCAGGTATTGAAGTGGCATGTGCATCTCATCCTGTCATCCTGTCCAAGATACATCTCATCCTGTTTGAGATGTGTGTTGATAAAAGGACTATGATTAAACAAATGGTTAAATAGTATAGGTACTATGTTCAGTTTTATGGTGTATATGCTGAAATTCTCTTAGTATGCACATTTAGGATTTATTGTTTTTTTTGGTACATGTGATGTATTTCCCAGGTTATACCATTCTCAATGCATTTGTTTTTTGGCATGCCATAAATGTAAGCAAAAGATGGCTAGTTATGCAAATGCACTTGTGAGACATGGAGCAAATGAGTTCAAGAAATTAGAAGTATTTCCCCATTGAAAGTAAGTATTCCTGATAGTTTTGCCTGAAAAGGCTGGAATAAAAATGAGTGATAAGGATGAATCTGTACAAATTCAGCAGGTGGCTGAAGGCTTTGGGACACATGCAATGAGCTGCACTTGGTGGCATCATATCGCTGATGCAGCTGGTATGTCCTCAAACAAATATTCTCTGCTTGAAAAGTCCAGTGAAACCCAAAACCACATATTCAAACCTCTGAATTATTATTTCTAGCACTTCAGAACCATTAGGATTTTGTGCATTGGCAAATGCTGTGGGGAGATGGATCATGCTGGGCATGGCTTGACATAGTTTAGATTCATCAAAATATAGGTGTTTTCTATTGGTGTTATCATATTGACAGTCAGCACCTGTGCTTAAAATGCTTGGATCTGCCCCAAGCATGTCCATTATAGCAGTCCTCCCTACAATATACTGGCTGCTCTTTGAAACACAAAAAGTTAGACAAATCATCTTTTAACAGTGGTGATGGTTGCAAGCTAAGCTAAGCTAAGCTACCCTAACCTAACCTAATCTATACTAACCTAACCTAACCAAGAATAGACCAGAACCTAAGCTAACCTAACCTAATTAACCTACTAACCTAACCTAACATAACTAACCTAACATAACCTAATGTAACCTAGCCTAACCTAATCTCCCCACCCTATATCCCCTTGAACCCAGCGTCCCATTGGCGTCCACGTTCCATGCCATATATAGGTACGGTATAGTGAGCTTTTATTTAGCTGCCATGTTCTCATTTTGCTTTACATTCCCCACCCAATCCCCCTGCAACCCATTGTCCCGTTGGCGTCGAGGATCAAATTTCATGGATTCTTGTTACCTTGGCCCCTACATTTTTATGGTTCTTGATGCTGCTTGATACACAGTAATGTTGTGACCGCTCGCAGTAATGGTGTCGCGGCTGCTGTGTGTGTGCGGCGCTCGGGAGCTCGCCATCGTAGTAATAAAAATTTGAAGGTAAGAGCTTGAATCTACCTGTTTTGTGATTATTTATGATATGTCCTTGCCTTTAACACGACAAATGGTGTACAATGATTTTTTCTAACGTTAGGTGGGAAAGTACACCCTGACCGTGCGATGATGATACTTGCTATTTCTTTTTACTCCCTATTGTACATGATGTATGTTACCCTGCACTGTAGGCAAATTGTCATTAATTGCAAAGCCCATTTTGATGCTTTGAGCTTCACTGAAGGTATGCACACCTTGAAATAATCTTTGATGCATTGCAGTTGTTAACATTTTGGTAAGTTCTCATTCACAGGCAGACTCTTTATAAACAACTTGTTTCCTGAGGTCAACAAGCCTACCAAACATCTATTTTTAGGTGACAATATGGTCAGTTTCTGTGAATCTGGAGCAGTGGATGATGTCATGCTTTTTACAAAACATTCAGTATTTGTCTGCCTTTAATTGGATAAGTTTGGCTTAAGCATGAAGCAGTACTTCCAGACACACCAACATTCAAGGTAATATTTTTGATATTGTAGGCCATGCTAGCCATAACATACAAGAAAGTCAGCTGAAGCAAAATAGCACAACAATGGGGGTAGCCATATTATGCTGTGTGTATTAATGTTGCTAGAAGGTTTTTGAAATAAAGTGCAGAAAGACATAGAGCTCTTTGGTAGAATGCATCCCTTTAAGCATCAGAAACAACAATTTATTTCAATATCCTACACAGCTGATTCATGACTCCTAAGGAAAGGGGAAGTGAGTTCTGGATCTTCCACCCATAAAATGCTATTTAGTACCTTCAGTTATTTGGTCTGTAGCATTCTAGTCTGGCTGGCTCATGTGTAGCGGAACCACAATGGGATGCCAGTGTCACATCATGCCAAACTGGTCTGCTGATTACTCTTTTGCACTTGCCAACCCAGTTGTTAACTGGGTGAAGGGGTATCCAAATTTGGAATTGGCCAATGTTTTGACAAGTTAAAACACATTTAAGTTTGCATAAGTTTTAGTCTGAAGACAGTTAACCTTTCTGGGCTAGAACTGGGAATCAGTTGGCTCAAAAATACACATGGTTAACAACGGATGCTCACTTGGTGGCTGCAGGCATGCCACAGAGCAATTGCAATGTGCAGTGCCATATATTTGGTGACTATCAAGCCATCACTGTCAGCCTGCCTCTCTGCCTGCAGGCGTTCATCTCCGAGCTGCCGTCGGACTTCCTGTGCCCGGATGGCGAGCCGGCGGCACCGGCGGGTGGTCCGGCCGCGCCCGGCGCCGGCTCCCAGCAGGAGGAGATGGACCGGCAGGCGGCGCTGGCACTGCAGCGCCACTACAGCCGACGCGCGCCCACCATGCAGACAGCCGCCGGCCGGCTCAACCTCACCATCGCGCAGGTGTGACGGCCCCCTGGCGCGTGCGCCGCTAGGAGTGCGGTGTGGACGTTGTCAGGCATGGCGGGCGTTCTCGCCATTGGCCAGACATGGGGCCAAACATGCTGTTTCATATGGACGAATGAGCCTTGTCTTTGCACAGGTTCGGAGATGAACATCGCCATTGCTGGGGTAGGAAGGGGCCGCCGTCATTGCACAGTCACAAGTACGGGCATGGGCGTTACGGTTGCACAGCCATAGGGCTGAACTCGGCGTGGCGGGCCGTGTGTGAAGGGTGGCCTCCCCAGAGCGGTGACGTCATCACCGCACAGGCATGTGTCAGGCGACCTCGCCGTGACGGGTGGACCGATGAGGCGGTCACGCAGCAGGCATGATGGACCACTGTGGTGCGGTGCGCCAGCCTGAAGCTGTCATTCGCTGCCGGTCGCAGTGGAGTGGGCGGCACTCGAGCTTCCCGTTACGTGACACACGACGACACGCGAGACACGTGGCAGTAATTACTTTGCAATGCGGCAGTGAGAAGATGCTGCTGTTCACACACGTCTGTCCACTCTGTCCCTCGCGCTGTGCCATAAGTCGACAGGTGGACCGTTCTGAATGGAATGTGGGTAGGGGTCAGATGCGGACGCCAGAGGATGTAGTGCGACTGAACGGTCCTCTCTACTTCCCAATGCTCCTCTCCACCACCCAATAACTTCCCATCGTCCAGCCCCGTATGCTCCTCCCCACCACCTAGCACATCTCCCCACCATCCAACGCTCCTCTCCGCCATCCAGCACATCTCACCACCACCCAACACTCCTTCCCAGCATCAACATTCCTCCCCACTATCCACCCAGCATTCCTCCCACCATCGACACTCCTCCCCACCACCCAACACTCCTCCCCACCATCCAACACTCCTCCCCACCATCCAACGCTCCTTCCCACCATCCAACATTCCACCCCAGCGCCCAACACTCCTGCCCACCACCCAGCATTCCTTCCACCATCAACACTTCTCCCCATCACCCAACACTCCTCTCCACCCCCCAACTCTCCTGCCCACCACCCAACACTCCTCCCCACCATCCAACACTCCTTCCTGCCATCCAGCACTCCCCCACCCCACCGCCCAGCATTCCTCCCACCATCAACACTCCACCCCACCACCCAACACTCCTCTCCACCACCCAACACTCCTCCCCACCACCCGCCACGGCCACCCGACGCAGTCCCCGCCACCGCCCACAGCTTCAGGCCAGCCGGCACGGCCGGCGCTGACGGCGTGCTGACGGCGGCGGTTGCCCTCAGGCTAAGCTGACCAAGAACTACGGCTTGACGCGGATGGACCCGTACGTGCGGTTGCGGCTGGGCCACTGCGTGTACGAGACGCAGACCTGCTACAACGGCGCCACCAACCCCCGCTGGAACAAGGCCGTCATGTGGTGAGTGTGGCGTGTGCCGCCTGTGACGCGCCGTTTGGGTCTAAGGCTTCACAGCAGTTGTCCGGAAGAGAATTATTAAATAGAGAGAAAGGGAGAAACTGATGGGTGTGTCTGACATTACAGTGTGCCAGATCATGATCATGATCCCAGATGCAGCTGATGACCACACGCTGCTTACGACGCCGGCCAGACAGATGTTCCGCGGGCTGGTGCCTGCACACACGGACTCTGGCTCCATCATGCACGATGCAGGCTAACTCACGTTTGGTGGGTCTGGGATGCCAACGATGGGGGCTCTACTCTCTACGTCGGCCTGGATTGAGACGCGTCTCAGTCGTGCGACTCCGCCTCTGGAGGATCGTCCCGCGGGATCTACTCGTCTGGGGCGCCCCTCCCCCCCATGAAGGGACATTTCCTCCTGGGATCGGCCGCAGTCCTCCCAGTATCAACATGGAGCTACTGATCGCAGTGCCGTAGACAGATGCCGGTTCCCAATGCGCGCTGGCACCATCCGGCCAGGGACTTGGTCTTTGGCCAAAGGAGGGCGGCTGCGCATTGCGGGAGCGAGACGATCCGCGGCGCGGTGCCGACTCGCGCATGGGAAAGACCCCAATTATGTGTTTCTCAGCTACGCCCAATAGAGGGCCTCGGGGCCTTGTTCCTCTTAGTCGACCGCCCCTCCCCCGCAAATGAGGTATCAACCTGTGGCATCACAGGTAAGTGCGTCATATGCAGCTATGAAGAATGTTAGCTATGCTCAAATACGGACAACAGTAGAAACAGTTGATTGGATCCATGGAGACATTTACAGCACAGCTATGGCGAACTGGGATATCATTTAAGTGGACAGTTTTTGACGGGTTATGTGGTCAAAAACATCATCGTCCATCACTCTACTCACGTGCGGTCGACAGCCGTACTTTTACCCGTCAACAACGACTGTCAAAACGCGTTGGCCGTGGCTAGGCATTGAGATATAAACAACCGCGACTTACCGCACACACTGCCTCTCGGCCAAGCAATGAAGGGGCTTCAGAAGTGACGTCAGAAGGAAGCCAAGTAACGACGTCGAGGGTCGAATGGACTTACTTCAAGTCGTGAACGGGCTTTCAATTGCCAATTTTGAACGGGTCCCTGGGGTGTGGCTCGAGCTGAAGGCGTACGGGGGCGGCTGGCGGGTCTGCTCTTGGAAGCACACGAGGCGTCACCGCTATCCTGCTATCACTGCGACCGGCCGGGACGTATCGCGCAAAAGGCAAGAGCAGGAGGTCGGCAAGAGCGTGCGCGCTGGGAATCGGCAGGTGACGGCAGCTCTTTCATCACGGAGTGACGGGTAGCCGGTGGCATGTTGTGCCTGTGTACAAAGTTTGGTGCTGCTACGAATACATTTGCTTATAAGCTCGCAAGGAGTGTCAAAATCACCACTGCGCACCCGTTAGGCACTCGACCTGCTGCCTGCGTTGTCCATAACGGCGGCCTTACCTCAGCCGGTGTCCCAGAGCCGCTGGTTCGTCCCTGTTGCCGCCGGCGGGCGGGCAGGCACGCAGCTTGTGCGGACGTGCTGCCTTGTCGGGCGGCTGGGGAGGCGGCGGCGGTGCACAAAGTGGGACCGGGGCGCGCGGTGCTCATGGCCCGGCTGGCGAGAGCGGCGGAATCCCGGCATTGTGGCGCAGCGTTATCCTGTGCCGCGATAAAGGCTGGCGAGATGAAGGCGGCGCTTCGTGTCATGTTACAGGCTGCTGTGGGCATGTGCTAGCTGGCCACAGGGTCAGACACGGTTGTTGCTTAGCATAAGTGTGCGGCCAAAATGTCGTCAGTTGCTTTGGTTTAAATGACATCGTCGTACGCGTGTAGCCGCTGCTTGTCTCCGGCCGTTATGAGATGGCGGGAATTTTCGCTATGTGTGTTGTCTGTGACGCATTTGTCACTGTCTCCAAGCGCCGCGAGCAGCTTGCACAAGAACTGCAGTTTTTGGCGGCGCGACGTCCGGCCATTAATCTCGTTTAGCCGTAAGACGGCGCTTCTCAGATTTCTGGAGAGCCGTGTCTCGATAACAGCACGCCGCGTAGGCGAGAAAGCTGGCGCAGCACAACGCCGCAGCTTAATGGCGGACGCTTGTACGCTGGCGCAGGCTCTAAGTGCTGGAGGCACCCAGCGGTGTTCGTTGTCCATGTATCAACCCGGCGTTCGGTCGTCGCTAAATAGTGCCCGCGTCGCGGTGACGTCACACGATGACGTCATGGGATGCCGGTTCATCCACCGCACGGTCGTTATCGGGACCCGTCGTCCGATGCCGCGCAAGGCCGTTGCGGCGTCTGAGCTCGCTCTATCACCCAGGGGCTGATCCTTCTCCCTCCGGCGACTGCCGCTGCCGTCGCCCCCACACACGCGCCCACGTGCCGCCGTCCGCTTGCCGAACTGACGCCGCTGGCTGCCGGCACTCGCGCTCGTCCGCGCGTGCCACCTCCCCCCCCCCCTTCCCTGTGGCCCGCAGTTCCCCTGTCTGGTGTGTTGACCCGCCTGCGGTGTCCGATCGCGGGGAGCGGCGCCCTGCGTGCTGCGGGCGGCTCCGCCTGATCCCTTCGCAGGGATCGGCGCTCTGTGTGCTGCGGGCGGCTTCGCCTGATCCCTTCGCAGGGAGCGGCGCTCTGTGTGCTGCGGGCGGCTCCGCCTGATCCCTTCGCAGGGAGCGGCGCCCTGTGTGCTGCGGGCGGCTCCGCCTGATCCCTGCGCCGTCGCCGGGGAGATATTCTGGTCACGGGCACCGCCTGGACGGCCGCGTCAATTACGCCGCACCGCGGCGGCGCGGCCGGCTCCTGCTCTTCCCGGCGGCGCTCACGACGGGGGCCGTTGCCACTCGGAGACTACCGGCTGCTGTTCGTGGCCTCGCTGTGGGCTAGTCCTTCCTCCGTGGAGTAGTCCCCCTCTGTGAACTAGTCCCCCTCTGTGGAGTAGTCCCCCTCTGTGGGCTAGTCCCTCCTCCGTGGAGTAGTCCCCCTCTGTGGAGTAGTCCCCCTCTGT